TAGTTATTCATTATGATGTTGCGCTAACTAATATTATTTGGAATGAAATAATAATGTTACATAACTGATTATGTAAGTTATTTCAAATGATCTACATAGTAATTCGATGTAAGAAAATGAAGAGGATATGATAATTGTAACTGACAAATTCATTGTTAGTAAGTTAAATATGTTGTTCGAAGGATTGGTAGATTGATTTAATCAGAGAGATAGGATTATGTGGAGATTTTAGTAATTTAATAGTTGAATTCGTGAGTCAATTGAAGCTAGATCATGATGGAAAACCTGGAAGCACTGAATTATCGTTTTGTCCTAGTAGGGGTCTGTTGTGAGATGAAGACAATAGTGGACGGTGGCACAATTTCATGGATTGGTTGAAGTTGAACTCAGTGGTCTAGAGGTTAAGTGTTCGCACGCGAGACCGATAGGTCCTTGGTTCGAATCTCGTGGCACGGGATCATGGATGCGCACTGCTGTGGAGTCCCATATTAATAAGAAATGGTCATCCAGTGCTTCAAAGTTTTTAACCGTGGTCTAATTTCAATTAACTCATGAATTTTAGTATTAAATTACTACAATCTCCACAAAACTCTTGTCTGATTATGTTCAATATATGTTTGAAGAAGAAGTGAGCTAGTTTTCCGTATTCGGATGAGAACTTATTTTATTGATTTGGAATTTTATTGGTTGTTCTTGATTAGTCTGTTCTCTTTACTAGAATGATGTTTGACCTACTAGTTATTTATCGTTGTTCTGATTATCCAACAGACTTGGTTTATTAAATATGCATTTCAACAAACTTATGATTCATACGTTCATAGATCCAGCTGACATTACATTAAACAGAACTTTCTTAAACAGTTTCCGATTTCTCATCAACACGTAGCTATTTTCACACAGTCGATCAATTTCTATTCTAATATCATCCCAGCTTTCTAAGAATGTATTTTTAATGAGTCTAATAAAATTCAGTTGAAAGGAGGTGTTACAGTAGCAGTAACTACTCCACATTCTCTTCATCAAGATTTGGGATAAAGAGCAAGTACCAACAAACTGGAAAGAAAGACACCTGATCAAGATACCAAAGACAGGCGATCTCAGCAAGTTTGAGAACTACAGAGGTATCACTCTTCTCCCAATACCAGGAAACGTCTTCAACAGGGTATTGTTAGATACAAATGTTAACACGGTTCTACTGTATTTGGCGGAGACATGGACAATTACGAAAGCCATCATCCAGAATATACAAGTGTTTGTTTACAGTTGTCTACTCAAAATACTTCAGTTCCGCTGGTGAGACACTATCAGAAACAACCTACTATGGGAAAGAACAAACCAGATCCTAGCGGAGGAAGAACCGGGAAGAAGTGTTGGAAGAGGATAAGACACACATCGAGGAAAGTACCAAACTACGTCACAAGTCAAGCCCCCACATAGAATCCTCATGGTTAAACAAAGAAGAAAAGGAAGACCAAAGAACACATTATGTCGACAAAAGTAAACAGATATGAGAAGAATGAACGAGAATGAGATAGAACTAGAAAGGAAGGTGGAAAACAGATTTGCTTGGAGAATGCTTGTCGGTGGCCTTTGCTCGATTGTGAGTAACAGGCGTAAGTAAGTAAGTAAGTAAGTAAGTAAGTAAGTAAGTAAGTAAGTAAGTAAGTAAGTAAGTAAGTAAGTAAGTAAGTAAGTAAGTAAGTAAGTAAGTAAGTAAGTAAGTAAGTAAGTAAGTAAGTAAGTAAGTAAGTAAGTAAGTAAGTAAGTAAGTAAGTAAGTAAGTAAGTAAGTAAGTAAGTAAGTAAGTAAGTAAGTAAGTAAGTAAGTAAGTAAGTAAGTAAGTAAGTAAGTAAGTAAGTAAGTAAGTAAGTAAGTAAGTAAGTAAGTAAGTCAGTAAGTAAGTAAGTAAGTAAGTAAGTAAGTAAGTAAGTAAGTAAGTAAGTAAGTAAGTAAGTAAGTAAGTAAGTAAGTAAGTAAGTAAGTAAGTAAGTAAGTAAGTAAGTAAGTAAGTAAGTAAGTAAGTAAGTAAGTAAGTAAGTAAGTAAGTAAGTAAGTAAGTAAGTAAGTAAGTAAGTAAGTAAGTAAGTAAGTAAGTAAGTAAGTAAGTAAGTAAGTAAGTAAGTAAGTAAGTAAGTAAGTAAGTAAGTAAGTAAGTAAGTAAGTAAGTAAGTAAGTAAGTAAGTAAGTAAGTAAGTAAGTAAGTAAGTAAGTAAGTAAGTAAGTAAGTAAGTAAGTAAGTAAGTAAGTAAGTAAGTAAGTAAGTAAGTAAGTAAGTAAGTAAGTAAGTAAGTAAGTAAGTAAGTAAGTAAGTAAGTAAGTAAGTAAGTAAGTAAGTAAGTAAGTAAGTAAGTAAGTAAGTAAGTAAGTAAGTAAGTAAGTAAGTAAGTAAGTAAGTAAGTAAGTAAGTAAGTAAGTAAGTAAGTAAGTAAGTAAGTAATCAAATGCAGTAATTGAATATTCAATAATTCAAACCTTAAACTTTCTAGTAACTTTAATTGAAATCAAAGTTGTCAGGTCAACGAATACTTATGGAATAACACAATTCAGTAACGCAACTATCTCACTCACTAACTAACCAACTAACTAATCATTAATCAAAAATACAATTCCATTTAATCTTTTTTCTATTTTTGATAGGTCGACTTATTGTTCATTCAAGCATTAGTGATAATAATTATTTATTTATCTATTTGTTTCGGAGAAATAAAATTTAATCAAGTTGACCGAGTGAACTAGTTTCTTTTTTGGGGGAATAAAAAAGAAAGAAAGAAAGAAAAACAGAAAGAAAAACGAAAGGAAAAGAGAAAACGAACGATCATAAAGTTATTTAGAACACATTTTATAATAATAATTAGATTGTTTACGCTATATTTCACATTTGAAAGTAACCTATGAACAAGGAGAGTATATATATATATATATATATATATATATATATATATATATATATATATACTGTGACTTTGGTGAAATACTTATTTAAGGAAATAACCGATATCAGAAGGGGTTTTGTCGGGATTTTAGAAAGTTCAGTGGCTGAAATTATGAGTCAATTGAAGCTAGACCACCATGGAAAACCTGGAAGCACTGAACGGCTGTTTCTTCGTAGTAGAAGTTAGACATTAACACCGTTGGATGCTGACCAGCTCGGTAGCCTAATGGTTAAGCGCTTGCGCGCGCGATTGATCGGTCCTGTGTTTGGATCTCGCGGGGATGGGGCGGGATCGTGGATGCGCACTGATGAGCAGTCCCACAATAGGACGAACCAGCCATCCAATTCTTCCAAGTCACCTATGGTAGTGTAGCTTCAACTTACTCATGATTTTAACTATTGAAATAAACAATAGACCATTTTTATTTATCCACATTAAATTGCATTAATTCGATTTAGTTTATGCTCCATTGTGATAAGTCTTATCATAATGTATGTATTGATTGTTGATCATTATTATGATGTAAAACTCTCCAGTTAAAAATTTGAATACTGTTCGAAAATCACTTTGATCTTATGTAGGTACGATTTTATTATTAATTATTTACTTTCACCTATTACTGACAATCGAGCATAGGCCACCGATCACCATTCTCCAAACAACTCTGTCCTCTACCTTCCTTTCTAATTCGATACGATTCTTGTTCATTCTTCTCATATCTGTCTTCGTTTATCGGCTTAATGTGTCCTTTGGTATTCCGTTCCTCCTTTGGCTTTGAAGATTCCATGGGAGGAATTGCTTCGTGACCCAGTTCAGCGCTTTCCTTAATGTATATCCTATCCATTTCCAGCACTTCCTCCTGATTCCTTCCTCCACTGCAATCTGGTTTGTTCTCTCTCACAGTAGGTTGTTGCTAATAGTGTCTGGCTAACGGATCTGAAGTATTTTGTGTAGACAACTGTAAACAAACACTTATATATTCTGGATGATTGCTTTCGTAATTGTCCATGTTTCCACTCCATACAGTAGAATCGTGTTGACATTTGTATTGAAAATTCTGACCTTGGTGCTGTCTTGTGAACATCTGTTTTGAGTTCCAAACGTTCTTCAGTCGTAGTGATTTTGATATATTGTTATATTAACTGTAATAGTTGAATTCATGAGTCGATATAGGTTAGATCACCATTGAAAACCTGGAGACACTAGACGATCATTTCATCCTAATAAGGAACTCTTCAACAATGCACATCTACAATCTTGCATATAGAATTCAAACCCAAGACTTCCAGTCTCATATACGAACGTTTATTCTGTAGACCACTAAGGAGACATTCAACGGTGTTAACGTCTAACTTCTATTGATCCATGTATATCTACGTAACCATTCACCCATTGTTTAAGGTAGATACTTGTTTCTACCTAACATTGATTACACATTACATTTGTTTATCAGTTGTATTATTCAACACCATCAAATCGGCATTCAATAAATAAGAATAATAGAAATATTCAATACACAATATCAAATGTAACATGAAGGTGTAAAATAGTTAGATATGTCAATTAGGGTGGATTTGATGCAGATGTGAAGGCGCGGATCGGTAAAGCAAGAGCAGCATATTTACAACTGAGGAACATCTGGAACTCAAAGCAACTGTCAACCAACACCACGGTCAGGATTTTCAATACAAATGTCAAGACAGCCCTACTGTATGGAGCAGAAACCTGGAGAACTACGAAAGCCATCATCCAGAAGATACAGGTGTTTATTAACAGTTGTCTACGCAAAATACTTCAGATCCGTTGACCGGACACTATTAGCAACAACGTACTGTGTGAGAGAACAAACCAGATCCCAGTGGAGGAAGAAATCAGGAAGAAGTGCTGGAAGTGGATAGGACACACATTGAGGAAAGCACCGAACTGCGTCACAAGACAAGCCCTCACATGGAATCCTGAAGGTGAAAGGAAAAGAGGAAGACCAATGAACACATTACGATGAGAAATGGAGAGAGACATGAGAAAACTGAACAAGAATTGGTTGGAACTAGAAAAGAAGGCCCAGGA